CCCTCCACCCCGACCCCCCCTTGCCCCGCGCACCTTGCAGAGGGCAGCGACATCAGCAGCCGCCACGGCCGCCTGGGTTGAGGGATCAGCACAAGACAATGGGTTGGACGCGGCTCGCAGTCGCGTTTTGCACCGAGGCGAGGGCGCCGGGCGGAAAACGATCGCCCTTAGCTTCCGCTACTGAGATTGAAGGCCACGCCAAGCGCATGCCTTGGGTGGTTCCTTGCACCGTGACCCTCTCAGGGCCTGCCGCGCACGCCGCTGCTGATATCTTTGTACGCGCCCATGCCACACTAATCCCTCTGCACCGCCAGCCGTGTCCTTGTGCTGCAACCCACAGCAGCCCACCCCCGCCTGCCAGGGCCCGCGCAGAGGCTGCACGATCCTGTCATGTGGGCTCTCTTGCTCCCTGTAATGCACCGTATCGTGACCCGACACCAGATTTTTCACGCACCGGCAGCTTGAAGTTGGCGCATGCGGCGTTTTTGGGTGCCGCCACACAGTCGACCGCCAGAGCAGCCGCAGCTACTGCACACAGGAGCAGCGCGCGCAGCGCACACGCTGCTGCCGCCATGAGGTTGGTCTTGCGAGGGCGCAAGTGAAGTGGAGAATGATAGCTAATGTAACACGTGCACTGGTGGCAAGCGCGAGCTGTGACAAGCCTCGTCGGCCGCACGATGTAAAGCAGGACAATCGCGAGCTAACGGCGGGAATAGGAATGACGACGGCGCATACTCTTGCTCCAAAGTCATTCGTCTTCTGGGTACACTCATCCGAGCAGATGCATGCAGTTTGTGGGGTGTCACCCGTACCCTGCGGCTGGTGACGTGGTCGGTCGCCAACTCGGTCGCCGCAGCACCACACCAACTTGTGCAACAACTGCAAGTACCCAAGCAGAACCACCATGATCAATGAGTACTGGCTGGAATGCAGGACCGATCGACCGTGCATGCGGTGTGCAAATCGTACTGCTGTACTGCCTCACCTTGCCCCCCCCCTGTGGCTGGTCTCATCACCCTCCACCTCGGCTCAACCAATGAACATCAACATGCGGACGTCGCCAACCCTTAATTTGAGAGGCAACCACCTTTGCGCCCTGCCAGCACGGCGCCGCCACGCGGCCCAGGGCTCCAGGTGTCGCGGCGGGCTGGTTGCGGTGCAACTGGGTTCGGGGCAGGCGAGGCTACTGTCACATCTCACCCTGTTCGAACTGGCCAGGTGGTTGCAATACGTATTGGCCACTGCTGCCAAGCCAACCGAGCTCGTGTGCGCGCCCGCCCGCCCTGCCTGCTGCGCTGCGCAGCAGCGACGCTCCATGGCTTGCGGCTTGCCTGTCCCTCAACGCGTGCCAGTGCGACTGGTTGGCTGCTTTACACGCACTCAATGCTGCGCCCGCGCGGCACGCCCCTTGGACGCCTGCACCCCTCAATGTGATGGGGGTGTGATGCCAGGGGCTGCGGGGCGTTGCGAGTGCAACGAAAGGAGGGGTGCGCGGGGCAACGCACTGGGGGGCACCAAATCGGCGCGACGGAGACCCCTGGACCTTCCATGCGGAGACAAAATCACAAGAACCAATCAAAGAATCAGGCGCAGGGCAAAGAATCGGACGGAAAAAGCTGTGGATTGAGCCCAACGCCAGCATGCCGGGTCTGGCGAGGTGGGGGACGTGCATGCTACGGATGCAGGCTGGCTGCAGGCGGACGTGGGGAGAGGAGGGGCGATTAGTAAAGATCCAATGCCTCAAGCGCCACCAAGACGCCCTCTGACGCCGGCTGCGCCACCAACAGCCGCCCGCCCTCCAGCACCGGCGCCGGCCAGCCGTCGCGCTGCCACTGCCGCCACACACGGCCGCGTGGCTCGGGCTGCTGCTGCTGCTGCAGCTGTTTCTGCTGCTGCACTTGCTGCTGTTGCTGTGATGACGCAGGACCGTCCAGCAGCATTCCCCCTGGCGAGTGCGCGCCGCTCCCCACCTGCACCCACACCACTTGCGCCCCCGCGCCGCCCACCCCGGCCGTGCACGCGGCCCCACCCGCGCCGGCGCCACCGCTGCTGCCGCCGCCGCAGCCGCCGCTCGCAACCATGTCGCCGCAGGCGGCCGCGGCCGCGGCCCTGGCCGCCCTCAGGGGAAGTTCGTACTTGACCGGCTGCCGCACCAGCAGCAGCGGCGGCGGCGGCGCCGGCTCTGCGCCCGCCGCAGCAGCCGCCGCGCCGTCGCCCTGCGCGGGCTGCGCGGCCCACAGCGGCCGCGGCGGCGCGCGCCTCCCGCCGCCGCCGCTGCTGCCACTGCTACTGCCGCCGTTGCTGCTGCTGCTGCTGCTGGTGGCGTCGCCTGGGGCCATGGCCAGGCGTCCCAGCAGGATGTAGCTGAGCGCGTGCTGCTCTGCGGCCAGGGGAGGCACCAAATCCACCACCACCCAATTCTTCTCCGAGTGCAGCCGCAGCGCCGCCCTGGGTGCCGCGCCAGGGCCCGCTGACAAAGCGGATGCGTCGGCGGCGGGGGGCTGGCCGAGGGAGGATAGCAGCAGCGAGACGGCGTCTGCGGCGAGGCGCGGGCGCAGCAGCAGCTGCACCCGGTGGGGCCCCTGGTGGTGTCGCGGCCCTAGGCGCGCGTCCCCGGGCATCGCCGCCGCCACCGCCGCCGCCGCGGCCGCCGCCGCCGCGCGGTCCCAGCCGCAGCGGGAGAGTGCCGACCGCCAGCGCCGGTCCTCCGCCCAGCCGGCTACGCCGCCGCCGTCGGTGGGCGCCGCGCGGGCCGGGGAGCTGCGCGGCAGTCGCCGGTACACGCGCGTCCCGCTCTCCGCCACGACCACGTCGGGCGTCGGCAGCCCGCCCCCTCCGCCGCGCTCGGCCCACACCGCCAGGAACGACGCCCAATCCCGCGGCGTGGTCACGACCAGGCACCCGCGGCCCGCCGCGCCGCCCGGCCCGCCTGCGCCGCCCCGGGAGTGCGGCGCCGCCGACAACGCGGTTGCGAGCGCCGCGGCGGCGGCGGCGTGGCAGGGGTCGCCCCGGGCACCCAGGAGAGCGTTGAACTCCGCCACCAGCGCCACCGGCGCTCTCAGGCACCGCCGCGGGCCCGCGGCAGAAGCGTCGCCGCCGAAGCGGCCGCCGGGCGGCGGGCCGGGCAGGGCGTACGTGCCGGGCTCGCGGATCGTGAAGACCGGCCCCGCACCCCGCTCCAAGCGCTCCAAAACTGCGGCAGCTGCGGTTGCAAATGGCGAGCTCGGGCCGGCCGGAGACCACCGCTGCTGCTGCTGCTGCTGCAGCTCCTCTTGCTCCTCATCCAGCTGCTGCTGCTGCCGCTGCTGCCACTGCTGCTGCTGCCGCCGCTGCCAGTCAGGGTCCGCCGCGGCCCAAAACTGCAGCAACGGAGGCGGCTCCCGCTCCAGCTGCTGCGACTGCTCCTGCTGCAGCTGCAGTGGCCGCCGCCCCTGACCTTGCTGCTCGCCTTCCTGCCTCCGCGACTTCGCAGCCGGCTGCCCTTGCTGCCGCCCCCGCTCCCGCTCCTCCCACCGCCGCCGCGCGCGCCGCCACGCCGAGAGCACGCCGTGTGGCACCTGTAGCAACACGGTCCGGCCCCTGCCCGGCCGCCCGCCCGCTGTGCGCATGGGGCACACTCCGAGTATGCTGCCTGGCCGCGTGCTGCCGGACGCGTCCGCCCCCTCCTCCCCTCCACTGCCCTCGCCTTCGCTTATGCTGCTGCTGCTGCCGCCGCGGCCACTGCCGCCTCGGCGCTTACCATGAAGGTCGCCGCTACTGCTGCTGCTGCTGCCGGGGTGCTCGACGAAGCGGTACCCTATCAGCCCCCATTCGGGGCCCTCCGGCAGATGCAACTCCACCGCCGCCCCCCGCCGCCGGCCAGGTCCCACCAGCCCTTCTCCTCCCCCCTCCTCCGCCGCCGCCGCGGTGGCGCCGGCCTCGCCGCCCGCCTCGCCGCCGCCCGCCGCGCCTGCACCGGCTCTGGTGAGTGGGAACGTGGTGCGGCGGCCGCGGAGGTGGCGCGACTGCTCGTGCCACGAGCGGTTGCGTGGCAGGCAGGGCGTGGGGACGGCCCACCCCTCGTCCCAGGTAGGCAGGGGCGGCCGCAGGTAGCCGGACTGCCCGGCTGGCAGCTGCTGCTCTGAGGGGAAGTGGTGCTGGTGGTGGATCGGCTGCTGCTGCTGCTGATGCTGCTGCTGCTGCTGCTGCTGCTGCTGCTGCTGCTGCTGCAGCGATTGCTGCACCTGCTCCTCGTGCTGCAGCAGCTGAGCTGACGCCTGTGCCGTCTGACTAAACACGGCCTCCGCCGGCCGCTGCCGCTCGCTTCGGTCGCGGGTGGGTGAGCCGTTGCGGCGAATGCGGGCCGGCAGCGCCGCCGGCGCGCGCTCGGGCGCGTGCGGCGGCGCGGCCGGCGGCCACGGTCGCGGGCCATGCAGCTGCGCCGCGGCGAGGGGGGCGCGCGGGCGCCGCCCGCCACGCGGCGGGGAGCGCCGGGCAACCCCGTTGCCGCCGCCACCTACGCTGCTGCTGCTGCTGCTGCTACTGCTGTCGGTGCTGGCTTCGCTGGTTGCCGGAGCTGACCGATTGGCCCCTGGCTGCTGGCCAGGTCTTTCAGGCAGTCCGTTTTGAAGGGAAGCACCGTCGCTCTTGAGACTCTGTGCGGCCTCGAGCGGCCAGGCCCAGTCCTGCTCCAGCTGCTCGTGCTGCTGCAGCCAGCCTTCAGCGCCAGCCCCATCCCCTGCCTCGTCCGCTCGTATCAACCCAGCATCAAGCTCCGACTCGGCAGAGTGCTGTTGCCGCTGCCGCCGCGAGTGCTCCTCTTCCTGCTGCTGCTGCTGCTGCTGCTGCTGTTGCTGCTCCTCCTGCTGCCACGCGGCCGCGAGCAGGCGCAGCTGGGGCCCCCGCGCTCGGTCGCGCGAGCCGTTGGCCGCGACGGCCGGCTGCGCGGTCGCCCCAGCAGCTGCAGCAGCTACAATGGGTGCGGGGGCGACGACGCGCACGCTACCATCCTGCGGGGCGTGCAGATGGGGTGTGTGCATGGCGTCGGGCGATCGGGCGCCAGCTCTCAACTGCAGCTCCTCATCTGCCACAGAGTGCCCACAGCTCCCGCAGCGCCCAACACAGACGAGCTGCCGTAACAGGTATCAGGCAAAGGAGCGCTGGCTGTCGACCGCTTTGCGGCGGCGCGTGCAAAAGCGCAGCACCTGGCAAAGCTGCACAGCTCGCGCGGCTCACCCGAAGGCTGATCAATTCCAGCCCCTCTGTCGCTGCCCCATCGACGCGCTCCCTCGACGCAACGGCTGCGCGCCACGGCCGGCAGCGGCCGCGGCCACCGGCGATGCGGCCTGGCGCGCCGCCGCCGCCGCTGTTGCCACCGGCGGAGCCCACACGCGGGGCACGCCCAGACCAATGGTGGGTTCCCGGACCTGTGCTCGCTGTAATTGAGCTCCAAGCTCCCTGGTTCATCTCATACCTGCGACATATACACAGGGAGGGCAGTCGGTGTGATGCACCAAGCACGCCAGCGACCCAGAACGCTGCAGCCCCGATGTAAGAGACTTCGCTACATGCTCTGCGTTGTCTTCGGACCCAATGCTCATGCCAATGGGCGCTGTGTCCTCACCGGTCGCTGCCTTTGCGGCCATGACCCCATTGCAGGCGCGCTGAAATGAGGTACACAGTGAAACACGCCCGTTGCAATGGTTTTGTCTACACTGCGTGCTCAGCACCAGGGCGCGGCCAGGTGCAATGAAAGGCGCTTCAACACTACGGTATGGCAATGCAATGCACGGCACGGAAGGTTTGCTATCCTGCGCGTGCCAATCGATTACTATCCTGTGGAAATGCGCCTCGACAACCGCACGAAGCGTGTGCTGAAAGAGCGGCGCGCGCCCATCCAGTGCTGCTGCTGCTTTTCTACGCGGTGTCAACGGCGCACTGGCGGGCCATTGGATCACACCCAGGGGCAACAGAGTCCGTGGCCTACGCTTGATGACTGCTTCATTTGCTATTACTCAAAGCAACACACCCCGCGGCAGGGCATACGGCAACCAGGAGCACCGGTCAAGCATAGGGTTGACCGCGCCAGCGGAACGGCAAGCTGCACACCGCGCAGGGAGCCAGGCGCGGCTACGCCTGGCGTTACTCCCACTCGTCGCTGTCGTCATCCTCGTCGTCCTCCGCCCCGCCGCCGCTGCCAATGTCTATGCACCCATCCGCGACCGCGGCGACGCCCCGTGCCTTGAACGCGGCCACCACCGGGTCGCGACTCAGCGCCGCGGGCGGCAGCGTCAGCAGCGCCAGCGCCGGCAGCACCGCGATCACCCCGCCGCCCCCGCGCGCGCCGCCCGCTTGGCGGCTGGCGCGGGGGCGGCCCCCCTGCGGCAGCCACTCCTGCGGCAGCCCGCCTATGGCGGTGTCACTGAGGTGGAGCTGCCGCAGCGCGGGCGCGGCGCCCAGGCATGGGGGCAGCGACGAGAGGCCGGGGTTGGACGACGCGTAGACATCCTCCAGTGACACCATCGCCCCCATATTGACCGGGAGCTCCTGAGTCATGGGTTGGAGGGCGGGGGACGACGGCCACGATGACGTCACCACTCGCGCGGCGGTGGCGCCGTGAACACTCAGCAACCCAGGAAGGTTGCTCGGTTTCGCAGGCGGCAGGGGCGCGGCGAGGTGCGGGCTGCTGCCGCGAACTCGTGCGCGGGGGCGAATGCGCGGCCGGTAAACCTGGACCTAAACCCTACCTCGAGCTTGGAGTGGTTCACGTGCAGCTCGCGCAGGCAGTGCAGGCGCGTGACCCCCGCCGGCAGCGACCTAAAGGGGTTGCAGGCGACGTTGAGGATTTCGAGGTCCACAAGGTTCGACAGGTCCGAGGGCAGATCACGGATCTGGTTGAACGAGACGTCCAGGTCCTGCGCGGGTGGGGGTGCATGGGGATCCGAAGAGGGGCGCGATGGGCGGTGGCTGCCAGGCGGCAGGGCGCCGGGCAAAATCAGGCATGGGGGTGGGGCGCGGCGGCGACCAAAACAAGCGCGAGAGGCCCCAACTGCGCCCGCCTGTCCCCGGAGCACGCCCTGCAGCGGCGTCCAGCCAGGCCCTAAACTTTGCACTCGCCCCGGCCTCACGCTTGGCAGCGCGGTCCAGCGGTGACACCCCGAAATCGGCCGGGCTCACCTGGAGGGAGGGCGGCAGGCCGTCTGGCAGCCGCTCCAGGCCGCAATACCTCGCCGCCAGCACCCGTAGCCACCTCAGGCCGGCCACCCAGTTCATCATGCGCAGCCGGCCGGGCTCAGGGAGCTTCAGGCCACCGAGGTTCAGATCGCGCAGCCCCACCACGCCGCCCGACGCCGGCGCAGGCCCGCCGCCGGGCGCGCGGCCAGGCGCCGCCCCGTACGCGCCCCCCTGCCGCGGCCCTGGGCCGTGAACGGCGCCTGCAGCCGCCGGCCGGCCGCCCGTCGACGCCCCGCGACCCAGTAGTGGGCCCATGAGCGCCGCCAAGGGGTCGTGAGAACCGTTCGAATCGTCGGAATCGTTCGAATCGTTCGAATCGCTCAAGGGAGCGTCGGCGACCGTCAGACTGAGCCGCTGCAGCGGAGGCGGCGCGCCGGCCTGGGGCTGGCATTTGATAAGGATTGCGTCATATGACAGCTTCAGCAGGGTCAGCCGCGGGAGATCCGGCAGCCACGCGGGCACTTCAGAGAGACGGGCGCTGCGGGGGGCGGGGCGGGGATGGCCGTGCGAGGGGGGCGCGGCGTCACGCTGGGGTGCCGTGAAGGGTCGCCGCCGGCGCGTCGGGTATGAGAGGGACCCTGCACGATATGACGACCTGCTTGGGTGCGACGCAAACAGCAGACAGGATTTCCTTAGACAAACTGAGGCCGTGCCCAGTGCTGATGGCTGCGGTGCACATCTCCAGGGCACGGCACCTGCTAAGGCCGTCGACCGTCGCAGTCCCAAGCCTGCCCCAAGGCCCAAGCCTGCTGCCGTGAACTGGAGGCGCAGTCCAGTCTTGCAAACGCTGGCTCAATCCCATCGATTCTAACCGCCAATCGGCGCCGTCACCGCCCTTGGTGCAGCCCGCCCGCGCTAGGGTCTCAACCCATTACCGCCCATGGCACCATTTTCCTGAATTTGTTGTCCCAATTCTTTCGGCGGTCCCTGTGTCGCCGTGTGTTTGGATTCATGGTCCAGGTTTGTCAAACCCTGAACCCCGATCTTGCATGGTGTGTCAGCCGACTCACCCGGATAGGCTGAGTTCCTGCAGCCCCGTCAGCTCCGACACCCACCCCGGCAGCCCGTCCCTCAGCGGCGCCCCGCTGATTCGGAGTGACGTCAGCGAGCGGCAGGCCGCCAGGTCTGCGGGCAGGTGACGCAGGCCGCCGTTGGTCTGCGTGCCGCGGTCGCAACGTTGGGCGGGCCGGGGGAGGGGGGCGAGCAGTGGGGGCACACAAGAGCAAACGAGCACGTGCAGGAGTTTTATGCACACGTTGACCGGGTCAATCCGGAACAAGGGGCTGCGGGCGGCGTGATCGGCCCCGCATCCCCGCCGGGCCCCCTCTCACATCCAGTTGCAGCTGCCGCAGGCCCTCGCCCGCTCCCAGGACGATCCGCTCAGGAAGAATCAACTCCATCGCCGACAGCTCAAGAGAAGTCACGCCCTCGAGCCCGGCCGGCAGCAGCCGCGGCGGCGGCGCGGCCGCCGCCGCCGCGGCCGCCGCCCTGGCCGCGGCGACCTGCTCCTCCCAGTCCTCTCCCTCAGAGTCTGGCTCGGGCGGGTCCATGCGCGGCAGGCCAATCAGCCGCAGCTCCCGCAGGGCCGCCAGCTGACTCAGCGGCGCCAGCTCAGCGGGCGACGCGGCGAAGTAGAAAATGTCGGTGTCGAGGCGCGCCAGGGAGCGGCCGTGCGCGGCGGACGCGGGGGCGAGCGCGTCAGCCAGGACGACGTCCTCCAGGGGTCCCCAGTACAGCCGCAGGCGCCGCAGGGGCCTCAGGCGCGCGATTTCCTGCAGCACGGCCCGCAGCAGGTGGCCTGTGGTGGCGGGTGGGTTGAGCGGGTCGCGCGTGTGTTTTGAGGTGGGGCCGCGCCGCGTGCGCAAGGGGGCTGGGGGCCGTGCGGCCTCCGGCTGGGCGGGTGGCGGCCTTGGCTGCGGCCCGCCTTGCGGATTAAGAGTATGCCATGACGTGCACGAGCGCACGCACCTTTGCAAAAACACCCGTACCCATCCACACATACACGCTCGCATATACTCACACACCCACACGCGCGAACGCACGCACATACAGTACATGCACACAAGTACACACACATGCACACAGTTTTCCCGCAGACCCCACCTGCAGCCGCCGGGTCTGGCGCCGAGTTGTCGAGGGAAAGGTCAAGATCAGTCAATGCCGTCAGCTTGTGCAGGTGCACCGTCATCTTTGTCACCTGGCCGGGGGTGCGAGTCAGTGACGCGGGGTGATGTCATCCTGTCTCGCATGCGAGCGATGCGAATGGCCCATGGGTGCAGACGATTCCCGTAGGAAACGCGTCGCCGCCTTGGAGAGCCTCATCCAGTTGAATCCGCCTGCTTGATGCCTGCCGGCCCCGACGCATGCAGCTGAGCCGGCCGCCTGCACGATCGGCTGCAGTGGCGCCCCAGGCCGCAGGTGCATTACGACCCATTGCACCCCCGCCGGCCCACTTTCCCCCACTACTCCC